TTTACGTTTACGTTTACGTTATTATTATTATTATTATTATTATTATTATTATTATTATTATTATTATTATTATTATTATTATTATTATTATTATTATTATTATTATTATTATTATTATTATTATTATTATTATTATTATTATTATTATTATTATTATTATTATTATTATTATTATTATTATTATTATTATTATTATTATTATTATTATTATTATTATTATTATTATTATTATTATTATTATTATTATTATTATTATTATTATTATTATTATTATTATTATAGTTATTACTATTATTATTAATTATTATTATTATAGCCAATCAGCACTCATATTAATTCGATATGTTCAAATTGTGGTACCAAAGAGACGACATTATGGCGTCGTAGCAGTACGGGAGCAATCGAGTGCAAGTTTGTTTATTTGCCTTATTTATTAGTGATATAATATTTAATTAAGATTTGATTACTGTTTTTTTTGACTAATATAACTTTAATAACTAATCATATAGTATCAATGTTTATCTCTTCTATTTTTATATCATAAAAATTTTTTGTGTCAAAAATTTTAATAATAATTTATTATCTAATTAATTAGATCAATTTGTAATAAACAATTAATAAATTAATTTATCTAATAATTATCAATCATTAATACTTTCAGTGCATGTAATTTGTATTATCGTAAGAATAATCGATCACGACCAATAACAATGTCAAATAAAATACGAAAACGAATTCGCTTACCACGTTATCATTTCCCATGAAAAATTTTTATGAATAAAATGTCACACAAAGTATTATTATTAAATTGATTATTGATTGGATAGTATTATTAAACAAAAATTTTGTCATTAATATGAAAATTTGATCATTTAATGATAATTTCATGGCCTTTAATTGTGTAAAAATATAAAAAGTTGCAAAAATTATTTCAAATCGATAAATCTTTCGATCGATAAATCTAAAAAATTGATCAATTAAAATAGCCTATTATGAATTACTGTATAGAATTTTAATTTGTTGCAAAAGCGATTATTCATTTTTTTGATATTTCATCAAATAATGGACATGTCTTTTATCAATTACTTTTTTACTTATTATTTTTTACTTACTGCTTTTTACTTACTACTTTTTACTTACTACTTTTTACTTATTACTCTTCACTTATTACTTTTTACTTGCTATTTTTCACTTATTACTTTTTACTTACTGCTTTTTACTTATTACTTTTTACTTACTGCTTTTACTTATTACTTTTACTTATTACTTTTGCTT